CGCCCGGCCCGGGCCCTTCCGCGCGCCGCACCGGCCCGGCGCGTCCCCCCGCCGCCAGGGCCGGCCCGGGGGGGGTGGGCTGAGGCCTGCGCCGTCCCGGCGAAGCCTCGGCGCTCTGGTAGGCAGAGCGGCTCGGCTCCCCCCTCCCTTCTTCTCCTCCTCCTCCTCCTCGTCCTCCTCCTCGCCTCTCCCTCCTTCCTTCCCCGGCCCGGCCTTCGGCTCGCACTCACCCGCCTTCCTCGTCCCTGCCCGGCCCGCGGAGCGTGTACGCGGCTCTCCCTGCGCGGCGCTGCCCGGCGGCGGCGGCGGCTGCCGGGCCGGCGGGGGCGGGCAGTGGGTGAGCGTGCGGGGAAGGAGGAGAGGGGAGAAGGAGGAGGAGGAGAAGGGTGGGGAGGGAAGGCGAGAGGAGGCGAGGAGAAACGCGGGGAAGAAACCGCAGCGGCGCTCCCGGGGCGGGACCTGTAGCGGCGGGCCGGCCGGGCGCTCGGGCAGCTGCTCCGACGACCTTTAGGCGAGAGACGGGGAATCTCCGAGCTCGGGGCGCTCCGCTGCCAGCCCGGCCACCATCTTACATTAGGGAGACTTGCCCTGGACGCCGCCTCTCCTGCGCTTGCGCCGCCGACAGTGGGCGGGGAGCAACGGCGGGGGGCGGCCGCGAGGACGGAGAGCGACGGCGACGGCGCGGGGAGCGACGGGAGTTGTAGGCGGCTCAGCCAGGGCGCGCGCGGACGGCTCGGTGCCGCCGCCGGGGAGCGCCGGAGACCCCCGGCGCCGTTACCGCGTCACGTCCACCCGCCGCTCCGTGAGGACGTCGGCACCGGACCGGGGTGCAGCTGCCGGGTATCCCGAGTCCGTTGCCCGCTCGAAGAAGAAAGCAGCACACGGGAACCGGCATGCGCTTGGTTTCCTTTCTCCTGCTGCAAAATCCAGGGAAGTTGTGTTTTCGTGTTTAGCGGCTGTGAGTAACTTTGACCGAAGCATCCTTCCTTCCTGCCAGTTCTCAAGGAAGGAATCTCTCCCTTTGGTCTCCGTGCTGACGGAAACTCATACGGGCTTGGTTACTTCAGCCACTGCTAGGGGAGAGGGGGCAGCGCTGAGCTCTGCTCTCTGTAACAGCGACAGGGCCCGAGGGAGCTGTGTGAGGGGAGGGGGTCAGGACACGGTCTGCACCAGAGGGCTGTGGGCATGAAATGCCCAGGGCAGAGAGCACGGCCCAGAGCTGCCAGAATTCAAGGAGCGTTTGATATCACTCTCAGACATAAGGTCGGATCCATATGTCTCTTCCAACTTAGGATATTCTGCGATTCACCTTTGAATTTCAAGGTATTGAACAGCCTCAAACCATATGCTCCACTAGCAGTGAACTGCCTCACGCTGACACAGCTTGTTCTTCCTGAGACAAGCTAGCGTTACCTCACTTTTTATATTGATATAAGTATATCTGTACCAGAAAAGCTCAGTGAATTAACTTTACTACTTCTGGCTACAGATCACATAAAAATAAATAGTTTCATTAGTAGTCCTGACATAGAAATGTAGCACTTTTTTGGAAACAAAGCATGAGGTGAAATTGAAACAGCTGTATTATGTGAGAAAGTCCTTGTTTGCTTATATATTCAACTGGAACATATACATCATATATAGAGCTACATAGTAATCAAATTCAAGCACATATGTATAAAAATAATGTACAAATGAAAGACTGTATATTTTGCACATTTCCGTGTCAAGCTCTGTATAAACAATTAGGTTCCAGAAGTGCCTATTATGTAAGTAGCTTACATAAATAATGTAATTGGTGACTCACCTAATACCTGGCAATGTGTTCTGTTGAATAAAAGTCCAAAATTTATCTAGAAGATTAATTAAAAGAAAATGTCTAAAAGCTGCAATTTGTGGGTCAGATGTAAGACAGTCTGTGTTTTTTTTTTTTTAAATCCACTACTGAGGGGACTTTCCCTTCCTAAGGGGCTGTTCATATTCCTTTGCTTGAGCCCCATATGAACACAGATTTCACCACCATCCAATAATCATCTGAAAATTGCCTTCATAGGTGAAGATTGCTTTGAGAGACATTACTGGAAGTTACCCATAGCCCTGCTTTAATTTGGTAAGAATAATTCAGTAGACCATCTCATGGCCACTATTAGATGTAAGATGTCCTTACATTATTTTCTTTATTTTAAGCAATTGTCATTGTTTTGATAGATTTTTCTTACATGGCCCCATTTTGACACCTTAGTTGCCTTTGGCAAGATTTATTCTTCATTTGTTTGAATAGATCTGGGAAGACCTCCTAAGAAATCATTTCCATATACAAAAGAAAAACTTCAGAGCACATTTTCTTGAAAATGACCAATGCATATCATCTAGAGTAAAGATGTGTATCCACATGATCTGCTGTTTCGGTTTGCCCTCCCTTTCCCCACGCACACACCCTTCTCCAGAATTCACACCATGTAGCAGAACTGCCACGTTCCACAGTCAGTGCTGTGTCGAACACATACAGGACCCTAATAGGTTCTGCAACCTGGGGAGGAACCAAGCTGTTTTCATGATCCCTCTGTTACTCAATGCCACTTCTAATGCCAGGAGGAAAGATGGCAGAGCTCTGCCTGCCCTTAATACAAACAGGTCAGTGATACAGCAGAGCATCTTGGGAAGAGACATGATTGTAGCCTTCAGATCCTGGCAGAAAAAAAAAAAAAGGTAAAAACAGAGTAGTTCTTCCTCATGCCTGGTTCGGGTGAAGAGGACTTACTTGAGAACTTTAAGATGGTAAGGGCTGCAAAGCATCTGCACCTGCTGCCATCTGAACAGTCAGCTGGATAGGTGCTGCTAGCTGGAATGACCCTGGCCTGTCAGAGTGCTGGAAATACAGACTACCTGTGACCTTCAAGCATGCCAGGACTGAGAAAATCCTTTAATGTTTGGAAAAACGATGTCCCCCAGTTATGATGGAAGCTGTGGTTGGGGGGGGCACCCAATGCTGCAAGTTTCATAAACAGGAAAAAAAAAAAGAAAAAAGATGTTTTTCAAGCTTCTTCGAAAGCCTCATAGACTACAACGGGAAGTTCATGAATAATACAGAATGATATACAATAGTCGATGACAGGATTTTTAGAAATTCATATGAATTTACTGCAACAAAAATAAGAATCTCTCCCTGGACTGCTGTGTATGTTAACAATGTTGCCATTCCTCTTGTCATTCTGGGAGACCCAGATGTCTTTCTGCTCCTCCGGCCAATGGTGCCTTTTACTGTGCAGATGTGCTGGAGAAAGGAACTGGATGACTGTTCCAAGTAACTGCAGAATAATAATGAAGGGCTTTGTTGGCAAATTGAAGGTCAGGTGGAGGAGCCGTGCAGACTCAGATCAATATTTGCTGCAAGTGACAGGTGTTCACTATGTCTTGCTCTAAATCTATGAGAGAAGGAGAAAGTGTCCAAACTGCTCAGGAAAGCAGGATGAGGGATTTTGTTCTGCTCTTTCTTAAGAATATGGAGGTGAAAAATGAATGTGTTGTAGACAAAGATATAAAATACAAGCTTCTTTGTTACTCTTTTTTGTTAAGAACTTTTGTTATTAGGGGAAGTTGAGAACTTTGAGATGCCTCTGCCCATTTTATCATGATAACTTTTACTAATTCAGCATAATTCTGGCATAACACACCTTAAGTGCTAAGTACACTTATCTTTAGAAAGGAAAGCAGAAATCACTCCTGTTTTCTGGAAAGGACACAGATATCCTTGGGGACCTACAAGAAGTCACTGCTACTGTATTAACCTTGGCATGCACTTGAGGTACTGGTATGAATATGACATCTAAATATTCTTCAGAGGTTTTTTTTCCTTCTGCATAATTTCCAGCAGATTTCCATGTATGTTGCTTTCCTTGTCTAAGCCTCCTCTGAAGCTCGATACTTGCATGCAAGTTAACACAAATGTCACAAGCATCCTTCCAGCTCTTTTAGTGCCTTCTGGTTCCTGTGCTAAAAGCCATTCACAAGAACCATGGACATCTCCTTCCTATTCTCTTTCTATTTTGAACCATTTTTTTCATGCCTTAAGCAGCTTGCAGGGCTCGTGTTCATCATCATTATGGTGCCCTGGTTGCCAGAGACAAATTGCAAATATTTTGTCATTTCTATACAGAACACAGTGCCAGTGATAATAGGTTTCTTTTTTTCTCTCAATTTTGGGATGTCATTACCATCTGCTTCTTCGGCCTGGGCTTCCCTAGGAAACTGATGTTCCCAGGAAAGCCAGTGGTGTTTAATTACGTAGGATGCCTCCCACTCTACATGTCCTTGCTATGGAAAGCCTGTGCTGGTGCCGGAATGGGAAGGAGAGAAGATCCAGAATTGGTGAGAGCTGACCAGCAACAGGATTCACGCTTTCAGTTCTGTGCAGTCATGTGCATGTTGTCAGGGATATTACCTTAAAGTGTGTTTCCAAGAGATGAGGAAAAAGTCATACCAAAAAGTGAGGTGGGTAGATCAGAAAGGAATTCAGCATTGCATAGAAACTATTCAACTGCAGAAGTAAATGGGAGATATAATACTGACAAGCAAGAAGGTAGCATTGCCCTGCTCTGTGTAATAGTAAAATAGTAAAATACTAAAATGGAATACAGTCTTTGCATTTACATATATGATAGCACATGCAGGTCAGCATCATGTGCACTAGAAAGGAACAGACTTTAGAGCAACTGGCCCAAATCCAAGAGTTCTATATTGCTAAAGATTTGATTTTAAGTCTCTTGTAATCATTTTCAAATATTTAATGTTGGTAATCTGTCTCCCAAAATGTGAAAGGAACTGAGAGTGCAGCATGCTGAACATAGCATGAACCAAAGTAAATCTGCTATTGCTTTTTCTCTTTCTGCTTCCAGTGCTAACAGCAAGCTTGCCCTGCAGTCCATGTTCCCTTTAACTCCTGCAGTGCCTCCACTCTGTTTGCACGACAGGGAGAGCAGCAGCCAAGCAGCGTGAGGTGAGGACATGGGTTGAGTTCTCATTTGTGGAAGACCACAGTGACCATCTTGGGGAAGGCAGTGCCAAGCTGGTGGAGATAGGCAGCTCATTTCCACTGTCACTGATGGCATCCAGATATTGCCTGGGTTTGAGGTGCAGGGCTGCAATTTAATACAGGATGTGATAGCAGGATTTCCCTCTGCAGCGTTTTCAAGCTCACCATCTATCTGGATTCCAAAAAGCATTTTTGTAACCTCAGTCTCTGCATTTCAGCATAGAGATTTGAAAAATACATATTAGCTCTACAACTCCCCATATGAAGTGACATCATTTGGCAACTATTGTAAACCCTATGACTACATTACAATACTGGGGTTCAGTGGTGATTTGTATTAATCTTTTCCGACTCACCCAGTTCTAGGCATTTGGAAGGGAAAGTCCTGGAGGTCTGTATGGGAACTGCTGAGTCACGGCCTGAACCTCTGATTAATCACCTGAGGTGAGCCTTGAGTCAGCCAGAGGAGCACAGGTGAAGGCAATTCTCCTGGACCTATTTAAGAGCTGGCTACGAGAGGGGAAGGATCTCTTCTGGAGATCCCCTCTTTTGGTATCTTCTGGTGAGCTCAACCCAAGGGTAAGCTCTTCCATTTATTCTCTTTTGTGATCGTTGTCTGCTTTGCCTTACTCTCTTGATTATATTGCAATTATAACATCTTGGTTATACAAAATTATAACATCTTGGTTATACAAGGTCCCACTCAAATCTTTCATGCTCTTGAAGTCCAACCGTTATTTGCTTTCTGCTGGCACTGGTCCCTCTCTCAGGAATGCCTCTCCCTTGCATTCAGTTTGACAAATCATGATACTTAAGGCATGTCATTAAATTGGATATGGATTTGCTACACACAACCTATGGTACAGAATCAGGGGAAGAAAAGAGGCTGTGCTCTGAAGTGTGCAGATTTGTCTGTCAGGGCTGGAATTGTAAAGGAACCCATTCGCATTCAGCTAGATTTAATCCAGATGATCTCGTAACAGAAGAGGGCACTCAGGGGCCAGACAGCAAATAAACTATATCATGTTATGTGATGAGGGGAAATCATTGAGAGAATGGACAGAATCCTCATCTGAGCTCAGTGCAGCTTATAGCTGGTAAGCCTGGGTTTCATTCATGCAAAACGAAAGCCCAGTCACTTTAAAACAATCCCTGTGAATGCATGCGAGACAACTCATCTAAAGCATTTGAAGTAACATCCCTGTGTAGACAGGACTTCATTATGCTACTTGTTATTGTTTTCAGTGAGTCCTCACCTGCTCTTTAAAGTTCAGCATACATTACGAGAGAAAATTATTGCTCATTATTATTGTATTCCTTAATTGCCTTCTGTATTAGTGTGTTCAAAAGAATGTATTTTTTTCTCTTCTGCCCTTCTCTGCCTGCATCCAGCAGCACTCAGCATTTTCTACAGAGCTCAGAATTGCTTGCATTCTTATAAAAATGCCTCAGCCATATGGGATTTGCTGAGAGTAAATTAAAAAGTGCATGACTTGGGAAAACGCAATACTTTATACTGCATTAATTCCATAGTCATGGTATAAACACAAAGTGTTAGTATAAAGAATTTCCACAGTTTTGCAGCATTCAAGTCCACATTCTGCACAGGCCAGGAGTAGCAGGAGCTCTCCTGCCAAGGAGTGTGATGTTGTGCTAAGGGGCAGAGAACGTCAGTGCTTGTAAGTATATTGCACCAGCCAAGCTCTAGCTGCAGCCTTGCAGTTTTCCAGGCAGCTCTGCTTCCTTTAGCCAAAGGAATGTGAGCTACCGCAGCTAATTTTATGCTATATAAATAATGCTGATAGAGAGACAAGCCTGAGATTAGGTAGGTAAAGATAGACAAAATAATACATTAAATAGGAAAGTTGAAGCATTTGTTTATCAGACATATGAGTTTGTTCCTTAAGAAGCTGCAGGAATCTGACTGTAATGATGACAAATGAGAGATCTCAGAATAAGAAGATCAGTCTTGCATATAGGCAGAGCCACAATTGAGACTCTGTGTGACACAGATGTTTTTGTTGTACAGAGAAATTGGGCCCTTATATTGTGATAGAGAACATTTCCTCTTCTTAACAGCCTGCACTTGACGTGCTGACAGACTGAAGGCTGTGCTGTGTGCCTGGTGCTACTCTGCTCATCTCCTTCTGCTCCACGTCCCTTTGAGCATCCCTCTTCTGGTGGCACAACAGTGCTGGACCGAGAGCCACTGAGAACAAGGACCATCTTCTGTATAGATGCCATCAGCACTTCCACTGCTAATGTCTTATGTTACTCTTGCCTGAAGCACTTGTTTTATACAGTCTCACTCTTTGTTGGGCCTTAGAACATTCTGCACAGTCGTTGGGTTGATGTGAACAAAAGGAAGAATATGCTGATATTTTTGGTTTAGTCCATTCCTAGCAGTATTTATCCTAAGGAATAAACAGTGCAGTATCTAAAGGCCACAAATTCAGAAACTTTCAGATGCTTTTATTTGTGCAGGATCCCATGAAAGTATTGTTTTCAGAACAAGTGAACGTTGGCAACTTTTCTTGAGGACAATGAAAACTCAGCTCCTCTGACAGATGAGTTTCCATTCTGCAGTTTCCTGCACAGGGTTTCCACACTTAATATCAGACCTTCACTGTAGAAAGCACTGGTACAGTATTATGCACAATACAAAAAGAAGTAGGCACCCACCAGATTTTACCAAATGTATCCAGAGATTTCCAGAGTTTAATCTCATGGGCATGTGTTGGAATTAATTTTACAAAGACTTCAGGGTACAGTTATGACTAAGCAGGAACAGTGGGTAACAAGAAGTCTGCTTATAGGAAAAAGCTGGGAATTTGCCATAGAGCAAGATGCATGAGGTGATGTGTAGGAGAAGGCTTTTTTATAGGTTACCTACACATAGGCAGCTTTGTTGCCCTTCAGAGGTATCCATTCAGCTCACCTGTGGGCAGGCACTTTCCTTACAGAACCAGCAGAATAAGAGCATCAGGAGCCGGTGGGCAGCCTGCTCCTTCCCACTTTGGTAATGAGACTTCGCCAAAATTAGGGACATGAGGGAAGTGAGCTACTAACTGCTTTCTTCTTTAGTCTTCTTTGCAGATAGGAATCTAGACACTGGACTTTCTTCCTTCTGAGTAATATATACCTTTCCTCATTCTTCTGAGGAGTTTATACCTTGACTCACTGCTGTCCTACTTCAAAGGTGCAGAAATCAGAGGAAGATCTCTCACACCTTACTAGAATGAAGTTGTATCTTCTCACCTCAGGATGGGTAAACAGTATGTCATCTCAGCTGAGATCCTAATAAAGATGAGCGAGTTAATGTTTCGTCTTCAAGATCTAGTTAAATTCCAAGCTTCTTGTCTCAATTTAGTAAGAGAAAACACAATGTGGATTTCATTTTAAAACAGTTGAGTAGGTACAGTATCAATTTATTAATGTAAAATTATTTTCATGAAAAGCCAGAATAGAAACAAAGAATGCAAGTCTCAAAATCTGCTGAAGTGAAATTGCTCTAAGTCTAACAATGGTTCTGTTATACTCCTATACAAAAGCAAATTTGATGGCCTAATTCAGTTTCATTAAGCACTGCTTTTTAATTGTTGATGTGACTGAACAATCAAAACTGTAAAAGGCACTTGGCTAATATTCTGAGCAGTGTAAATCCTTATGAAAACTTGGTTATGACACAGCATCTACCTTTAAACAGTACCTTTCATCTCAGATAACTGAGGAATTAAGAGGATAAATAGAGCCGCCTTAGGTTTTCATGACTTCTCTGACTCTTATAGGCCTTTACAGTTTAGTAGCTCTATGTGTCACGAGGCAAACTGTTCGTGAGAGAAGTCTCCAAGAAATTCAGCACGCACAGGTTCAAAAGGGTGGTTGCTTAAAGCCCTCTTTGAAGCTTTCATACCTGTGAAATTCAAGCAAGTTTTAAATAAAAGCTCTAAAAGTGAGCCCTAGCAGCACAGTCTTCAGAGAGCTCGTGGCTGCAGAAGAGCAGACCGACAGCACAACAGCCTGTAAAGTGTGTAAGTCTGAGTTTGGTTAGCTTGTTCATGTTACCACATGCAACAAAAGGCAAGCAGAAAGGTGATTCCTCCTGTCCCACCACAGCAGTGCTCATGCTGGCTGGCTCTGGCAAGCGAGCTTCCTCCAGCCATGACCTGATTGAGAAGGATGTTGGCAGAAGCGTTGTGCAAGAGCGTACATCGCACTCAGTGACACTCGCTCTGTGTGGTGGCAGAACCTCCTTATTTGTCTCCCTTTAGTTTCCCCCTTAATTTTTTATATCAACAATTAATACTGTTCTGTAATTTTCTCCAAGTCTATGGTTGCACTAAAGATATAAAGAGGTAAGTTGTTTTTGTTTGCTTGTTTATTGTTTTTTGTTATGAACAAGGAGTCCTAGTAATAAAGAAAGTTGTTATATCCTGAGTGAAACTAACTCCTCAAAAAATCCTTTTTTTCTGGGGTTATGCATGAAAGCCAGACCTGGAGTTGGATCCTTTTTATAGAGCCATGAATAAAGAGAAAAAGAGAGAACATTCAGACAAGAGATCAGTCTATTGAGAGTGCTGGGGCTATATGACTCACTGAATTGTCTGAGTAGGTAAAAAAAAACCCACAAAGTATTAAAAGAGTAGTTGAGATCAATACAAATAAAACCCCAATTTTGTTCTCGCTGAGATCAGGGGGAAAAAGAAAGAAAATTTGGGAATATAGATTAGCTTGGTTTAAATACCTGTAAGGTAAAAAAGTTTATAGCTGGTCAGGTTCACAGACCTCGTGGAAGTGGTGTCCCCTTTCACCGTGGCTTAGGCTTTCAAGAATTCTCCAAAGTAGTAGGAACTTAGGTTACATTTCTTCATGATTTAGGCAGAAAGTGAATTAGTAGTTGAGTTTCTCCTGCTCAGGTAAAAAGAGTTGCTTTGGGTTGTGATTTTCTCAATTATTTTGGCTGAGGTGGATGCTTTTTCCACAAAGAATTACAGACTGAAGCAGACTGCATGAGAAATATTCTTTATTCTTAGTGGTCAGATTACTCATTTGAATGGTGGAATTACCTCTAAGCCTCTCTGGCACGTACCAATTCCATATCCAGTGAAAGTTTAATTATTTCTGCAAAATTAAGTGGCACTAAGACAGATTGAGAGTGTACATGGCCAAAGTTGCCTCCAACCTTTATGGGAGATAGGGAATATGTGTTAAAATGAGGAGGACACAGTAAGGCTCTCACAATCTGAACAAATGATCTCAACTCCTCCAGTGAAAGGGAGACATTAATCCTTGCTCTAATACTGGATCTTAGCTGGATCTTAGTGCAAAATTAATACTCAAATTTCTCTGAAGTTCTGGAAAATTACTTTGAAACACATTTGCCATCTGCCAGGATAAAACAATGTCAAACTAAGCCACTCAAAATGTGCAATCAATTCTTCATTAAAAATAAGGCCACCTCATTTTC